CAGCAAAAAACGAATAACCTTGGAAAGCACACAACATACTGAATTTCGGAACAAATCGTGCAATTACTTACAGCAGCGGAATACCACAGAAATATCAGACGAAACATGAAAACACTATATATTGTATTCACCTGAACCCTCTATATTGCAATTCAAGGAATTAACCCCATATGTGCATCCATTTCCCACCTTGGTATCACCCACCCCTGAAAACAAACTCTTAATACCACGCTGAAGTGTTTGGTAAAAATAGCAATAATTATTCACCTTGACCGCTTTTCTGATGTATGGGATCTGTGTCCCACTGTCTAAATTATTATTGATAATTAATTTTCGTGACCACTGTCCCGCTCTGACAACACCAGTACCATGAATTATTACCATCAGTTTATCAGGATTGGACATTGCATCCTCGGACATGTAAAAGAAACTGGTAATTTCCTCATCAGATGGTTCTAACTGAAGATAAGAAAACATATACATGTCCCATAATTTTAGTAAAACGTGTGTATATTATAGAGGTATACAACTAAAAGTGTATATATAACAGATGTATATATCGGCCTTGTAGCCAGCATTACCTCATTTTAGCAGAAATTTACATAATGACAGCAACTATCATGATCAACATTGCACAGGCACTGCAGACTTGTTGATATTTTAACAAGGAAAAGTGTCAAAGGTAAATTAACTAGCATTACTTGCTTTATTCTGTGACTTTTCATTTTTTTATATGTGTAACTGTTACATGGCAGGTATATATTGGTAACTGTTACATGGCAGGTATATATTGGTAACTGTTACATGGCAGGTACATATTGGTAACTGTTAGATGACAGGTATATATTGGTAACTGTTACATGGCAGGTATATATTGGTAACTGTTACATGGCAGGTATATATTGGTAACTGTTACATGGCAGGTATATATTGGTAACTGTTACATGGCAGGTATATATTGGTAACTGTTACATGGCAGGTATATATTGGTAACTCTTACATGGCAGGTATATATTGGTAACTGATACACGGCAGGTATATATTGGTAATTGTTACATGGCAGGTATATATTGGTAACTGTTACATAGCAGGTATATATTGGTAATTGTTACATGGCAGGTATATATTGGTAACTGTTACATAGCAGGTATATATTGGGAAGTGTAACATTGTGGTATATAATGGTATGTGTTACATTGCAGGTATATATTGGGAAGTGTAACATTGTGGTATATAATGGTATGTGTTACATTGCAGGTATATATTGGGAAGTGTAACATTGCAGTATATAATGGTATGTGTTACATTGCAGGTATATATTGGGAAGTGTAACATTGCAGTATATAATGATATGTGTTACATTGCAGGTATATATTCGTATTTGTTACATTGCAGGTATATAATGGTATGTGTTACATTGCAGGTATATATTTGTATTTGTTACATTGCAGGTATATATTTGTATGTGTTACATTGCAGGTATATATTGGTATGTGTTACATTGCAGGTATATAATGGTATGTGTTACATTGTAGGTATATAATGGTACGACTACGTGTTACATTGTAGGTATATAATGGTATGTGTTACATTGCAGGTATATATTGGTATGTGTTACATTGCAGGTATATAATGGCATGTGTTACATTGCAGGTATATAATGGTATGTGTTACATTGCAGGTATATAATGATATGTGTTACATTGCAGGTATATATTGGTATGTGTTACATTGCAGGTATATATTGGTATCTGTTACATTGCAGGTATATAATGGTATGTGTTACATTGCAGGTATATAATGGTATGTGTTACAATGTAGGTATATAATGGTATGTGTTACATTGCAGGTATATAATGGTATGTGTTACATTGTAGTATATAATGGTATGTGTTACATTGCAGGTATATATTGGTATGTGTTACATTGCAGGTATATATTGGTATGTGTTACATTGCAGTATATATTGGTATTTGTTACATTGCAGTATATATATTGGTATGTGTTACAACATGTATGTAGGTGTATATCAGTATTTATTTATTTATATTTATTTAACAAACACATCACCTTGCTTAAAAGCAACGAGCAAATGACTTAAAGGTAAGAATATGATTTCATTTTTATTAATATTTTAAGCAATTAAGATAATATGAAGTAGCTAATACTTACTGGGATAGTCACTTTTTTTAAATTTTCTTTTTCCAGCAGTTCATAGACATATTCTGTTATCAACTAAAAAGCAATCAGTTATTATCATAGTAGGCTCATATCATTAAGTGTCATTGACAGGCATATTACAGTTATCTGTTCAATATTAAAATAATTACTATTATTATACATCTGTCACTGTAATGCCATAAGTTACAGCGTGCCATAATTTTGTGGTATAGCACTGGGTATTTTCATCCAACCATATTAGGAAATGCGAATTCCAAATATGGAATGATTATACACATAAGCGTCCTCTAATAATAAAATACAAACATGGCAGCCCCTAAAGTTTGACCGGACCCTAAACAAAGAAGATCGCTCAATCAGTTCTAAACTATTTGTATTTCGACATTCCCATGACGTATCCTTGGCAGGAAAAGATGTATAATAATAAGGTTATTACAAGGATACCAAAAAGTATGCATTCAGTACACAGTCGCATCAACCTCTGCTTGTCGGACCATACTCCCGCTATACTGTCTTTGTGCATACTTATGTTCGTAATAACCTCATACATCCAGCATAAAAAACAACAAAATTTGCCATTTTATAAAAGCTGTTACAGTATCAGCATTCATTTGTAAATGTATCAGCACTCATCTGAACGTTTAAATTTTCCCAAATATGGAATAAACTGCATCACATTATTGATGTCACATTTGAAATCTTTCATTTGTTTACGTTGAATGGAGACGCACTATAGTGCATAACGGAAATAACAGCCTGTCATTGAATGCTAATGTTAACTAAGTGTAAAACGTTTTTTGTGTTGCCATTACTGGCTATAATTTCTTCTCAAATATTACTTCAAACATTAAATAGATGTTTATTAATAGTAAGGTTATCACAAGAATATCGCAAAGTATGCACTCAGGCAGTTCTGGGTCACATTGACTTTAGCTACATATCAGTTGATATGATCACTGTACTGCCTTTGTGCATATTCTTGTGATAACCTTATAGTACATTTAGATTTATAAGTATCCAGCATTATACTGTATTCTCTTACCTCCCCAAGTGCTTCATACCTTTTCTGATTTTGTCGATGGTCATTTTTAAATTCATTAAATTCAAATCTCTCACCAGTTTCCGTGTGCCTTAGTTCTCCATCTGCAAAAAAAAATATGTTATAAATAAATTAAACTATTAATTACACAAGTCAATGAAAATGACACAGTCCCCGTTAAATTTTTGAAAGTTGTCTCGAGCATGTTCTTGAAACTTGAGTCCAAAGTGGCGTATACTACAGATTGTTTGTTTACATCAAATTCGAACACGTGTTGCGTGACAACCTTCCAGTTTAAGACATAGCAAAGAAAACATAGATCACAAGTGAAAGCATGTCCAAGTTGTCACATTTTAAACAAACAAGATGGTCGCCAGTCGACCATATTTGCTCGAATTGCAAATTGAATTGACATGTACCATTTATGACATGCTAAATATCAATGATACACGGGTGACAGAGATATAGTAATATGGCCAAAAATAAAAACAACCGTTATTTGGCCATCTTTTATCTGATTATGAAACAATGTGACATGTATACTGTATGTGCTAAATACAAAAGAAAATGGTACATAAATCTTGGAAATATAGTAGTAAAATTGACCATCCTTGATCATGGACATGTATCCTAACATGTATAAAGTATGTGCCAAATTTGAATTAAAACTGACAAAGCATGTCCAAGATACCATATTTAAAAAAACTAGATGGCTGCCAGTCGACCATCTTTTATTCAATTGTGATAGAAATTGTCATGAACATGTATCCTAACATGTATAATCTATGTACCAAGTTTGAATAAAAATTGACAAAACATGTCCAAAATACAACATTCTCAAAAAACAAGATGGCTGCCAGTTGAATCGCTAAACCACTGCATGTGCATATGTCCCAACAAAATGTAATATTTTCTTTATGGTGTCAATAAAGTACTTTTTTTATTCTATTCTATTCTATAACATGTAGTTTGAAAGTAGCATATTATAAAAACTGACAAAGCATGTCCAAAATACAACATTTTCCAAAAACAAGATGGCTGCCAGTCGGCCATTTTGATTCGAATCGCTAAAGCACTGCATGTGCATATGTCCCACATAAAGTACTAGACACATGCTAAGAATGTGAATGAATAATGCTAAGAATAGAATAGAATAGTGATGATATCCATACATCATGCAACTCACTGATATTCAGACCAATGCTATTCAAACCATACTTAGACTAGTGCAGAATCTGATGTGATGTCTTTAGTCGCACTGGAAATAGTAAGTCCTTATGTTACTATACTTTACCGACCTTGCGACCATCGAGCGTGGTATTAGTGTTGTCAGAAGAGTAGGTGTTATACCTCAAAGCTCATGATGTCACTGCAACATATATCGGCAGAAATGAAGCCGAAGACATTAGAAATGCAAAGCCCCAAGCACTTTTTGGCAGTCATTGTAACAAAGCTTTCTATTGGTCAGTAAACTTTCTATTGCGCAACCATGTGACATACACGGTTATGAATGGAGTTACTGCACAGGGTTGTAGAGGGAGGAATGTCCGAACAAACAAACAGGTGAACGATAATATTAGTCATTGCCGCGACTTTGTACTACATTGGAAGGGAATGGAAAATGAATATGATAATGCAAATCTGCCTTTCTGGAGAACGCTATTGTTGAAATAAACATAATTCAAAGAACTAAACACATCATTTGCATCTTAGCAACAGGTTTGGTATTAGCTCCGGTATTAGTTTTGTCATTACCGAATGTCTATTTAGCCACAGTTACTAGCATACGTACATCAATGCTCACCTCCCCAAAAAACAACAACAAAAAAGCATAAAATTAATTAGTTGTTAATTTGTTTAAGTCAGAGCTGCTGATAATTAATAAGGTCATGGCGTATTTTTATCGACATCAGGAAAGGCCAAACAATGTCAACATTATTGCATGATTCTTGCATGATTTGTTCCCTCTGTCTTTGTTCATGGGTGAAAATGAGCGTACTGACTCCAAAGAGAAGTGACACATCAGAACGGTCGCAATGGGAGTACGCTACAGCATGGATTTCATTAACTCTAATATACTTTAATGGTTGCATTCAACTGGGGATAATAAAATACTTACCTTCATTAAATGCATATTTGAATTCTTCCATTGTTTTAGGGAATTCAAAAACTCTTAAATCAGGTTTTTTAGTTGTGTTCTCCAAATATTGCTGATATCTTCTCATGGCCTCTTCACCCTTTTTACGAATTGTCTCTTCATCTTCTTCAGAACTGGACGACTCACTTTTGTAAGCATGTGTTTTTTTCTCCCTTTCTTTGTCCTCCTTCTCTTGTTCAAGTCGTTTCACCATTTTCTGTCGGTCAGCTCTTTTTCGTTTCTCATCTTCAGTCATCGTATTGTCTTGTTCACTTTGCTCTTCTTCAGAACTCTCAGCCTTAACCTCTTCCCCAATTTCTGATTAGTAAAGATAATTAACTAACATTGTATTGTTTTATCTAATTGTTATGCATGGCAATCCTCGCATGGCTTAATTTAGTAAATTTCAAATGCAGAAATCTTGGTTCTATTGTACACACTCGTTATCATTTGTCTGTTTACAATGTCAACATGCCAGATAAACATCCATTGTTCAAGACATGTATTCTTAAAGTGCTGCAGTCATCACACCAGTCATGTTCGATATGGGACCCACAGCAGCTGTACAACATGTCAAATACACTGTTTATATCAAATTTGAACACACTCTGCATAGCATTACATTAATATAAGCTTATTAATTAAATATCGCAGACTTTAATCACTCATGTGGCCCACTACTATATACTCAAACTACAGCACTCACCTACAGCATCAGTTTCCATGGCATCCTGTGATGAGCCTGGATGTGGAGATGCACTCATCTGAGATTCATTCTGTTCATCCGACATGCTGCAAGACTATAAGAAAAAGTTAAAGCAATAATCTAGTACGTAGTAGAGATCAAAGGAGGAAATGATAACATCATACCACATTACAACCAAACTGAGCGTAAAATTTGTATTTGTTTTTCAAACGATATAAGGAAATTGCTTTCTTCCACTTAGCTTCCTGCTTCAAATAATTGTAACCCGTATTGCATCACGTGAACTATCATAAAATCTCTAAAACAGGGATTTTTTTAGTACAGCTTTACGTTTTAATATTTAGCCCATGGTTTTAGTTCAGTTTCGTATTTTATTTAACTGTGCACACTGACGCTCTACGTCGTATTGTGAAAACGTTGCTATTTAGTTTGAGAAACAAATGTCGACCCTAATACAGAGAGAGGTAAGGGAGCGAAACCTCGTCCTCGAGAACGGCCTCGGAACTCTGCTGGCTCTGACCAAAAAACTGAACCCTTTATATACAATACAAATCATAGCGTTAGTCAAAATTCTGAGCGTTTAAGCCGTAGTTCAAACAGAAAATTCAAACGTATAAAAATGACAATGACTGATACAAAGTAGGAAGTCCACTTACTTGATAAACAAAGAGTATGAGAAGACAACCTAAAACTGTTTGACTTGGACACATTCGAATTTACTTCCGGGGGAATCCCCTGGTAGATCTGCGCATGCTCATTTCATTTATGACAACTGAGAATATTTAGAACGAGGGCACGTGATTTTTGGTCTTGCTTACATTTGTAAACTTGCATACAGTCTCTTGTTTATTTTTTTTTAAATAAAATAAATTATTATGGGAGAGTATAAACGGCGAAAGCCTGGTTACGGCGAAAAAAAACTAAGTTTATTTTTGGTGTTTTTTATTCAATAAAATATAATTGGAGTGTATAAATAGCGAAGCAGCGTATAATGGCGTAAAAATAAGTTTATTTCACCGTAACTCGGCTTTCGCTATGTATACACTTCCCATATTTTATCCTATTGCACACCTAAAAATAAATAAGAGACTTCAAATACAACCAAATACGTCGTGCAGTGCGTCCAACAATAAAATCAATTTATATATTAAGGATGAAATAGGCATTTAAAAAACATTTTTTTCTGATTTAAAAAAAATAGGGCGGTGAGGCGATTTCTTCGCTGAAATATTTGACGGCGGACACATTTCCCAGGTTTAATTAATTCGCCAATAGAGGGCGCTGTGTAATTGACAAAATTAAAAAAGATTTGTCCCAAATAAAGCTTTGTAAAAATCTAAATAAATTGTATTCGGAAAAGCTCCCGCTTTTAAGATTATCTTATACATGGGACACTTGGCTGGTCGAGGGATATGCATAAAAATGGAAGATATTTTTAAAGTATCCCAAGAACCAAAGATGCAAAGAGCATTGGATTCAGAAATTCGGTGTGGGGCGGGGGCGGCTCCTAGTGACGTGGGCTGGGTTTGTCAATTATTGTAATTTTTTTTTTTGCGGGCTGAAGGGAGGCACCTCCCCCTAAATCGCGCGTGCAGACGCGTTCAAACAGAACAAGAAATACAGCGTATCTTCTTTGACCGAAGAGAAGTGTAGCTTGTTCAGAAATAAAGTAAGTTTTCTCTAAAATAAAATGCGTTTTATTTTTCCCAAAGGTCCGCCTATTATCAAGGGGGGTGTATTTTTTAAAGGAATTGATTTTGCAGAACATATATATGTTCTATCTATACAACCCTAGGCCCTCTTGATCCCTGTTTCGGAGAAACGTGCCTTGCCTTGGTATGGTACGTATAGTAGACCGTGGCCCTCAAAGAACTGCAGGACTGTGTAATAACGAGCACAGACAATTAATTACGTAATTTACACATCATAAAGTCATTTGAACACAAAAGCTCTATTTGCCATAATTAATAACGAACATGAAACAACAAAATATACAGTAATAATGAAATACTGTAGTTGTTTAACCATGGTAGCTAATGTTTTTACTATTTAGTCATTTTGCAAAGAAAGGAAAAACTATTATGAGCCGGAGTTAACCCATTGAAAGGCAGTTATCTTGTATTTGAGTACTGTTGAATTTGATGCACAGAAATATATAATACGAACAGCAACTATACTAACACACAAACATACGTGTCAAATTAGAAACCCGTCTGGGGGCGCTGTTCGTTAAAAGGTACTCCTAGAAACCATTAATGATTTCCCAGTGTGTGTCCTCCTGCATACAGTGTTTACAGAATGACAGGAGACTCAAATAAAACGCATTGGAAGAAGAAACAATCTTACAAGCAGGACAATACCAGAAATAAAATCAAAACAGAATTTATTTAACTTATGTTTTCTAACACTGGACAAACCAAATTTTGTTTTGTATTGTAATCTTTTGAAAAATAAAGATATCGGATATCTTTTTACAACCACAAATCAGTTGCAAAAATACCATTAACAGAAGGAGTGGCACAATTTATATTTATAATTAACACAAGCAGCCTGTCGGCTGAGATAGCTCCGCTGTTAGCAATGCACATGGCAATTAAAGAACAGAAGATATCATTAGAAAATGAACAAATCTGAGAGAGGTCCACATGTAGTACCTATATGTATAATATATCAAAGCAATTGGACTTGTGGTTTTCAACAAGAAGTCGAAAATATCACTTTTTACAAAAAATTACAA